ATTATTATTATTATTATTATTATTATTATTATTATTATTATTATTATTATTATTATTATTATTATTATTATTATTATTATTATTATTATTATTATTATTATTATTATTATTATTATTATTATTATTATTATTATTATTATTATTATTATTATTATTATTATTATTATTATTATTATTATTATTATTATTATTATTATTATTATTATTATTATTATTATTATTATTATTATTATTATTATTATTATTATTATTATTGTTATTACTATTAATTATTATTACTATTGTTATTATCATTCGTTAACAATTTCCAATATTGAATTAATCAAAATAAGAAGTGACAAATTTCAGGACAATTTCTGCTCGTATTGTTTATTTGACAATGTTTGGCACATCGGTCGTATTTATACTACTTTCGTCCAAAATTTTTCAACATTTTTTGGCTTCATTTTTTGGCATTAATATCAGCCTTTGCTATTTGATATGTATTACAACCATTGCTATTATGCCACTTACATATCTCAAATCACCGGCTGATTTTTGGTAATATATGATAATCATGACTTGTTTGATTGATTAATTAGTTAATTAGTTTTTATCAAAATATTATCATTTATTGTCTCGTACTCTTAGTTCAATTAAAAGTTACATTTTTCATTTATTTCATTTTTCAGGTTAGCAATTGTGATTGCAATGCTATGTACCGTTTTGGCTGTTTTACTGATTGCCTTAGGTATTAGCTTAGATATAAGTGCATGCATATCTGAAGCACATTATCCGAAAACATCAGTTGGTGGCGCAGTGGTCAGCTTAGGTACTTTCTTATTTGCATTTAGTGGTCATCAGGTATTTCCAACTATTCAACATGATATGTATCGTCCTATTGATTTTCCGAAATCCATTACTCTTGGCTTTTGTAGTAAGTTCTGATTTTATCTTTGGTTTTTCCCTTTCTTTTTATCGATTAAATAATAAAAGAGGATTAGTTCGCAAACATTTAAATCATGAGAATTAATTAATAATTTTCAGTTAATTTTGAAAGGAAAATTTACCAATGGAAACACAGGGCAAATTCATAAATTTATCATTTTATTAAATTAAATAAAAATCAGTTGTTAAGTTAAATAATCATAAATTTATTAATTTAATAAGCTAAATGGAATTATAACAATTGTTAAGATTTTATTTTTAGTTTTCACTTTTCCAAATGATATACTGTAATTTCACCATGATTTGCTCATAATAAATATTCTAAAATTTGTTGCAGTTGTTGCCTTCCTCTATATGCCATTATCCGTTTATGGTTATTTAACATACGGTAGTAGTATGCATAGTTCGATAATTGATTCCGTACAAACATCATGGATCCGGCATGCAGCTAATTTAACCATAGCAATTCATTGTATTCTTGCTTTAATCATCATGGTAAATCCATTAAATCAGCAAGCTGAACATTTATTCAATGCGCCACATTGTTAGTCTCTTTAATTTTTAAAAATTATAACGAAAAAAAAATTAGATTTGCAATATTTTTAGTGCAAATTAAATGTTCCCACAAATGTGGTTTTGCCTTATTTTACCTTATATTAAGTATGGAGCATAAAATCAAATGTAGGAAATTTACTTTTCTTAGCATTAAATATTAAATTCAAGCCCTTAATTAAAATTTATGTTCAAATTCTTCCTTTTCTTTCAATTAATACTTCTAATCTTGTATGGAATTT